TGATCTATTTTCAACGTGCAACTTTGGATAATCTTTTTCCGCGTGGTCATTGTGAATTTTGTTGGGCACTATGAACAAAATCATGGATCATCTCAATGATTGCAAGTAGTCATTACATAACAAGCAACCTAACAACTATTATTATTTCAAAATAACTACAACATATGGGAATTATTTTACAAGGATAATCCCAGGAATATTTGAGTGCTTTTTGCAAACTGCTCCTCTTCCTCTATCCCCACACGGATGAGGATCTGATATCTCTCTTATGCGTTATAGTGTTGCCTAGGTTTGAATAAGCACCAAAGGGTTTGGCTAACACAAGATAGCCTAGAACCTAAAGAGCCATATATTAAACTTAAACACATTTATAATGGAGAATTTATTGGTTCTTTAGGATTGAAACTCTGGAAAATATTAATTCAAAGAGTCGAAAGATGAGCTAGAGAGTTATTATTTTTTAAATATGTTGGAGATATTTTGAGATTTTAATAAAAATTGGGTCAGGAGGAAATCTCTCTCGACGAATATACAACAAATGAGATTTTTGCTTTTGAAAGTAGGCTTATGATTAATAAATGGACTGAAAATACATGAAATTTAAATTTTAGAATTTTTGTGTGGATGTGACAATTTTAATAATTTTTTAGGAAGTTTTTGTTAATAAAATAGGTTATAGAATAAGACTAGGTTCTTCAGGTGATCATACTTGGTTGACCAAATAGAAAATGCTCTTCATGGCCTTTTGTAGAGATTTAATTAGGTAAGAATGTCTTTAAGATATTTGGAAACACAAAATATATAAAATTTTACAGCTTACTCATGATGTAGGGTTAGAAAGAGTCACCAAATTAGCATCTCTTGGAGAGAATAGCCCCCAAGTTTTTACTCCTTCAGAATGCTCCAAACAATTTGTTCCATCAATAATCTCCACTTAACTTCATTCTTCTATTTAAAATTTGGACAATAAAATTTGATAATACAAAAGAGAAGAGAGCGTTATGGGGAGGGGCCACTAGTTTAGATGAAAGAGGTGATTATTTATGTGTAACCATCCATAACCTCCACTTTAATTAGTGGTGGCAAGCCACTAATTGAAAATTGATTCTTTTGAAAAAAATTTATATCAAATAATGAGCTTTTATTGATTTGAAATAATTTTCTTATGATAATTGAAACATAAATTCTAAAATTTCAAATATTTGAGTTTTAAAATTTAATATTTCAATCTATTACAAATGTCCACACATAAACATCACAACTACATAGATTTACAACTATTTATATAATATTAAATAAAAATAATTTTTTTAAGTGTTTTCATCTTGCTCCTGGTTATTGAACCATCGTGTTCATCCGTATTCCTCTTGAATTGAGCCTTTGTGCCCTTGTGGTTGTCCCTTTTTTTCGCTCACTTGATTGGTGTCTAGTGACACTTCACATTACCCTGCTTTTCTTTAAGAGCCGTTCTTCCAACATTATATGATTATTTATGAAAATGAATTATATTTATGAGGAGAGTGCTATAGAGATTCCTCTCCCTTGTCAGTTCAATCAACAAGCATTATTTGACATGAATCATGAAGGCACAATTGCTACCAAAGTTTAATATAATTGAAAATGATTCTGCAATTAAAAACTTTCTCATTTCATTAATATTTTGGCTTATATAGAGCCACACAACATTCACAAATAAACTCTTAGATTTCTTCTATTTACAACTAGAACCCTATATTAGATATAAATCTCAACACTCCCCCTCAAGGTGGGCGAAAGATATTCACCAAGTCCATCTTGTCACATTATCTAGTTAACTCCACTGAGCTAAGTCCCTTAGTGAGGTAGTCAGTCACCCGCTCTCCAGTAGCTATATGATTTAGTTCTAACAATTCATTATTCAACTTCTCCTTGATGAAGAATCTATCAATCTTCACATGTTTAGTTTTATCTTATTGCACCGGGTTGTTAGCAATGTTGATAGCCGACTTGTTTTCACACCACAACTTCATTTGAGTTCTCTAGTCCACTTTGAGTTCAACCAACAAGGATTTCAACTACATTATCTCAACAACTTCTGATGTCATGCTCTGTACTATGCCTCTGCTGTTGATCTTGATACAACTAACTATTTCTTGTTCTTCCACGAAAATAAGTTGCCACCTACAAACATGCAGTATTCTGATGTGGATCGTCTGTCATCTGCACAACTTGCCCAGTCAGAGTTACAAAAAAATTCAATGTCTACATTCTCATTCTTCCTAAAGTTCTGTTCAAGTATCTCAGGATCTGATACGCTATATCCATATAGCACTTCCTTGGATCATGCATGTAGCGGCTCACCACATTTTACGCAAAAGAAATGTCAGATCAAGTGTGACACAAATAAACCAGGCAACCCATCAGTCTCTGGTACCTCTCACGATCAACAGATTTTCCCACCTCTGCACCCAGCTTGACCTTCTGATCAATTGGAGAGACTGCATGTTTGCACACCCACATTTATGTTTCCACGAGGAGATCTAGTACATACTTTCTATGAGATAAGACTATCCCCTCAGATTTATGGGCCACTTCAATCCCAAGAAAGTATCTGAGTTATCTCAGATCCTTCACCTCAAATTGATTCCCCAGTCTTCCCTTCAAATGAGCAATCTCTGTTTCATTATCACCGGTGACAATTATGTTATCTACATATAAAACAAGTATGGTAGTGCGACCTTCATGTCGCCGGAAGAACGTCGTGTGGTCTGCATTGATTCGTTGAAATCTCATGCCAATAATTTTCATTCTAAAGTTATCAAATCTGGCTCGAGGAGACTGTTTTCAGTCATACAATGATTTCTTGAGCCTACACACCTTGCCCACTGTCTAGGATGTACTGAATCCTAGTAGTATCTCTATATATACCTCTTCCAGTAGCTCCCAATGAAGAAAAACATTCTTCATATCAGGTTGGTGTAACCTTCATCCACCATTCAGTACTAGAGAAACCAATGTCCTTATCGTGCTCATCTTTGCTACTGGTGCAAAGGTTTCATCGTAGTCAATGACATTCGTCGGATTGTACCCTTTTGTCACGAGTCAAGCTTTATACCTCTTCACCTTCCCTTTTGGAGTTTGCTTCACCGTGAAAATCCAGTTGCACTCAGCTGCTTTCTTCCCCACTAGTAGTGGTACAATCTCCCATATTCGATTTTTATCAAGAACCCCAAGCTCTTCATGCAACGCCGCTTTCCACTTGGGATCATCCTTAGCAACTTGCTAACACTTTAGTATAGAGACAGAGTCCAATGATGCAACGAATGCACCATACGAAAGTAGCAATGCCAATTTCCCACCCAAAACGATAAGGAGAATGTCCCGCATTGCTGCAGGAAGTCCTCCTTAACGTTGGGGTGTTAGAAGTAGACGGAGGATGAACAATATCACCTGAGAGTTTTGAAGCAAATGTGACTAGTGTAGGGGTCTCAAGAGTTGGGGAAGACCAGAACAAGAAACTTGTTGGCACCGCAGACTCGGTTCCCTCAGTTTGTTTCTTCCTCCGTGTATATACTCTAGCTTACTTTCATCCTGAATTTCACCATCTCTGGGTTTAACCTCCTCGATTTCCGTCTTCTCAATTGATTCATCCCATATGACAATACATGGCATTGTTTCCTTTTACACCACTTCATCACCACTACTACTCACTCTTTCTTGCCTCATATCTCCAGTGCTTGTTAAGTCACCGAATGGTGAATTCACCTCCAAAGAATAGATTGTTCGAACTCTTTGAATGATACATCCATACTCATAAAGTGTCTCTTCTCAATCGGGCTCCAACAGATATAACCCTTATGAGTGGTAGAATAATCTACGAACAGACATTTCACAACTCTGGGATCCAACTTCCCTACAGATGGTTTGTTGTCTTTACAAAGCATTCACATCTAGATACCTTTAATGGAAGGTTCACACTATTGTCTCTTTCAACATCTGACAAGGAGACTTCCTCTCCAGTTCTCTTGAAGGCATCATGTTAATCAATTGAGCAGCTATCAACACTGCTCACCCACTTAAATGTTGTGATACATTCATTATCTTCATCATACTCCGGGCTACCTCTACAATATGTCGATTCTTTCTCTCTATTACTCCATTTTGTGTTGGTGTGTATGGGCATTTGGTTTAGTATTGTATCCTTTGAGCTGACAGATAGTCCCAAAATGCTTTGTTGATATATTATATCCCATTATCATATCTCAGTGCCTTCATAAGTGTACCATATTGGGCCTGGATTGCTTTGTGAAAACTTTAAAGCAAACAAACACCCCACTCTTCTGTCTCATCAAGTATGTATCCAGGTAACATGAGAAAAACTGTTAATAAACGTAACAAAATAACGATAATCATTCATAGAGCTAGTAGGACAAGGTCTTCATACATCAGAATGTATCAAATCAAACACATGAAAGCCCATCTTCCCAGAATTGACATAAGAGCTTCTTATGAGCTTACCAAATTCACAAGCATCACACATCAGTTTCTCCTTATTTGTCTTTTCATATAATGATGGGTACAAATGACTCAATAAATTAAACAAAGAGTGTCCCATGCGCCTGTGGTATAACAAAAATACATCCTCCATACTACCCTCAAATTCTCCTGTTCCAACACTCTCAACCATGGATGTAAAGACCGAGTACATCCCTTCTCTAAATGCTCTTTGGAACTGTTAGGTTGGTATAGAAAAAAAACTCACTAGCGACACCTGTCACATGTCGAGATGCACCAAAATCTACTATCCATTATGGAGATGCAAGAACATGTATCACGAATACATTTGGCTGAGTGCGGATAACCAGTACTGCTCCTCTTAGATGCGATAAGGTAGACACATTCTCAGTGATATCACTTGCCGCTCTCTGCTTTCTTTTCAACATCTTTAATAACTTATGATCATCATCGGTAAAGATCACCCATATCTTTCTCTCGTTCTAAATTATTCAAGTCTACATGTCTCTCTCTCCTTGGTTGGCTTTGTACAAATCTTGCTTGGGTGTCCCACTTTTTCACACAGGGAGCCACCCATGAGCAACTGTGCATCCAATTCCTCGCCCTTCTTCCCCGCTGTCACAAATTCTTCGTGCAACTTATGAGCCACAGAAGCCTAATTCCCCTTCTTTAACTCTTCTGCATGAAGCCGTTGTCGCTGTTCTCGCGTGACACTATCCAACCGGAGCTTTGCTTGCTTCCTCGCACGACTCTGTCGATCACACGCCACGATAGAATCGATTGCACGCCTCTGTTCATGCAGACAGTTCAAACCGTCTGCCGCTCTCTTGTTGGAGTCGCACTAAGTCACCGCACGAAGCCCCTTACCCACTTCGTCTTCTCTGTCAGCACTCCTTCGTGCTCTTTGTGTGATGATCTTTTGCGCGATTGAAACAAGGCCGGAAGCTCTCGCCTCCCTGTAACAAACGCGCCAATCCTTCTTCCTTCTTGCGACGAACCTTTCTAGCCGTGCGATCGAACCTTCCTGCCTTCACAGCTGCTCGACCATTCCTATCGCGATCGACTTTTGTCCCAGAGCCCGAGCGGCTCCTCTCTGCTTCGCCTTTTCTGTAAATCGCACGAAGCTTCTGTCTTGCCCAAAGCTCTCGACGCCCGATCCCTAGATTGTTTCGTCCCTGTCGTCATCGGAAGCCCTCTCGTTGCCTTCCCAAAGCGAACTGCGATCCTCTCTCTGTCTTCTTAGCGAGCTCTGGTCGCGGTTGCTTCGCGACGACGGAGTTGCCGGTCTCGGCACGAACGACGCCGATCACGATCCCAATGATCGAGCGCCTGACCAGAAGGTTAGCGCTCTGATATTAAATTGAAAATGATTTTGCAATTAAGAACCTTCTCATTTTATTAATATTTTGGCTAAATCCCTAGACTTCTTATACTTACAATTAGAATCCTACATTCAATACAAATCTCAACAAATATAATTATACATGATTCTTATATGGCGAAATTTACATTGTTCAGTTTGAGAAAATCATTTTTATTTTCATTATGAGTAACATCGTGAAACATTGTTTGTTTTTTTCACTACTTTAAAGGAGACATCAATGTTGTGATTACCTCATCTTGAAGCATTATCTCATTCCCTGATTTCAAAAGGAAAATTCATTTTTTAGTCTGCCGGCACCCATAAGTCACTAAAGAACTCGTAAGCTCTCTTAAGCATACAAGATTCAAAGGATTCCCTGCACCATTTTGTCACTCTCTTAGTACCATCACTTTGGCACTGGTTGCCTAAGGCATCAAAGGAATTATATGCAACTCTTGTAGTAGCTGAGAACATTGGTCTAATTATTAGAGTTGGCTAATATTCATATCAATATAGAGGAATGCAAACATATGGCCTAAAATATCAAAAATTTTTACTCCAAATCCACAATACTTTCAAAACAGTTTCTTTGAGATCAACAGAATGAGTCATACCAATAGTTGAATGATAAGTCAAATTATCAACTTCAAATAGAATTCCATTTTGAGAACCAAGACAATGGCATGTTGACATATGATCACTCAAAAAGGGAGAGATCTTGTCAACATCTAAGGTTTCCAATACACACTCCTTTTTGAGTGTCACTGTCATGGATTGTGAACACCATCCACGATGAAGAGTATTTTTGCCAACTAATGTCAATGCGTATAATGAAATATACCTGTGATCCATTTAAATTATGTGTTCTATAAGAATCACAGTGACAAAGCAAAGTTTTGTTGCCGCCTCCAAAAACCTTTGGGTTGATCCATTTATTGAATATGCCAAAGGACTAATTTCATCTTATTTCAAAGATCCCAGAAGATTCAAGAGCTAGTGGTTAAAGCTCAGATAATAAAGTTCTGAAAATGAATCATAAGCTTCAAATTTATTAGAATCACTGCTGATATGTCAAACACATGACATGAACCTATACACTACGTTGAATCGTTTCTTCAAATTAATATGAACTTGTTGCTCAAGGTACCTTAGATGAATTGGGTTTGTTGAGGAACTTTTATATTCTTATTGGTTCTTAAGAGGAACAAGAGAATAAAAAAACTAATTTACAAATGTATTTGTTCAATTCAGTTTAATCAACACATTATGAGGAACAAGATTAAATTCAAGAAGCCGCTAGTTAAGAACTTGATGGAATTACCTACGACTTGAAGCTTGCAATGATTAAAGTTTCATAATGGCTAGAGTCACCAAAAATTATATTTCAGATTAGTCCCTTGGATGTTAGCTCTAACACAACCCTTAGTACTAAGCTATTAAACTTGCTTGAGGAAATCATGAAGCCAACCGTTAATAAGATTATTTGCTTAAAAGAACATACCCTCAATTTGGAACTTCCTTCAACCCCCTTGATTAGCAGCTAAATTCAGACCAAATACACCCACCACATAGGTAGCTAAGATGGATTAAAACTATACCATAGTCATTTCTGTTATATCAGCCTTAATCCTCTCCTAAAGCGGGAGATGTTGGACAAGATAAGCTTATATGATATCTCATTAGGCTTTTTTATGAAATCTATTTTTTTCTATTACTTTTATGTAACTTGATTCAACTAGCCCTTATATGTTCAAAGTGGTTCGATCGGCTTTCTTGTAAATCAATTTTAACAAACACATTGAGACTTAGCTTCCCTCTCTTTTCTTGCTCTTTGGGCTTGGTTTATGTTTCTATTAAGTTCTAGGCTTCTTTCCTCAAACACTTTAGTCCAACATTTGTGGGGATCAACAATAAAGAGTGACCCAAGTTATTAGTTGAACTGTTTCTCCACTAAAATATAACTTTTCCTTTAATTCAGCAAAATATCTGCACCGTAAGGTTTTTTTTCTTGTTTATACGACCCTAGTTCTCACCAAGAGCCTATTTACAAAAGTCAATTTTAGCTAGCTAGTTTGCTATTTATTAATCAACTATTTTTTATGGGAAATTTACATACATTCTATACAATTCTTATGTATTTACATAACTAACACTCAGTCTGATACTTACACTTATAATACTTTGGTATCATAAATTTATTCATGAAAATGTGTGTTTCTCTTTTAAAAAGACAATGATAATGATATTTTTTTTATGTGATGTTAAAGATTTGAGTGGTATAACATGTAAATATGAATATTTAGGTGTTCGATATTTAAATACATACGAATTGTGTGGTATGTATGTAAATTCCCCTTTTCTATAATTGTTGTTGTTTTGATGTGGTAGAATAATTCATTTGGAATTATCTAATTCAGGGAAAAAAAAATTATTACACGCAAAAAATACCTTCATATGCAACAAAAAAGATCAAGCATGATTCATGGACATGCATCATAGGTCTCACACGACACGACCACACGTGCCAAACAGATGGACAAAGCACTAGCTATTTGAAATGACAGGCGCATAAGAGAAGGGATTCATAGAATCAACCAACATTTTTTTTTTATAAACAGGCACCCATGTTTTGCTCTAGTGACAGAAGTGTGACATTGGAGTCTAAAGGCCTTCGTTTAAGTAGAACTAAAACTGAATATATGGAATGTAATTTTAGTAGTAATAGCTCTAGTGACAGAAGTGTGACTTTGGGTGATCAAATTATTAAAAGGTGTGAACGATTTAGATACCTTGGGTCCGTTGTTCAGAGCGATGGTGATATAGATGGGGATGTTAATAGTAGAATTCAAGTTGGTTGGTTGAAGTGGAGGAATGCTTCGGGCCTTTTGTGTGATAGAAAAGTACCGCTAAGACTGAAAGGAAAATTTTATAAGATGGTGGTGAGACCTGCAATGCTCTATGGCGCTGAAGGTTGGCCTTTAAAAGCGAAGCATAATAATAAGTTAAGTGTTGCCGAGATGAGAATGATTAGGTGGATGAGTGGCTTTACTCTTAGAGACAAAATGCGGAATGAATATATTCGTGATAGGGTTGGTGTAGCTCCTGTGACAGACAAAATTAGAGAAAGTCGTCTTAGATGGTTTGGTCATATTAAACGTCGACCATTAGATGATCCGATTAGGAGAGTAGATGTTTTAAATTCGACTTGTGTTAAGAAAGGCAGAGGTAGACCTAGGAAGACTTGGGCTTATTGTATTAAAAATGATCTTAATTTACTAGAACTAAATGAAAATATGACACTAAATAGGACGCAATGGAGAAAAAGGATTCATGTAGCCGACCCCACGTAGTGGGATTAAGGCTTTGTTGTTGTTGTTGTTGTAGGCACCCATGTTTTGCACTTTTTCCTCTCCTTTTTCTTTGTTAAAGGTTCCCTGAAGCTGTCCAATTCCCATTATCTCGAACTTAAGCTGTCCTTTCGATTCTTTTTGTTGGGATTTGGAATAATATATTCCCTTATCGTCATGCTGATGTGGAGGGCACTTTGCGTATGGCTGATTGATGGCCAGATTTTATTCCTTATTGATCTTTAATTTTTATCACTCATAGTTGAGTCGTCTGCAGTAATAGTATTAGATAGCATATGATTGGATTTGGACTTAGGGCATTCACGTACATACCGCTCAATTATTTTGTATTTTCATATCTAATATCTAAACTTTGATTTATTTACTTTTATACATCTAAACCTTTCATATCTCATAAAAAAATCCACTATTTTAACTTACAAAAAATGAAATACACCTTTTCTTACTTGGGTCAGGTGGTATATATGTAAACATTAAAATTTAAATTGTAGATATGTAAATAGATAAGAATTGAGTGGTATGCATGTAAATCTTACTTTTCTGTTTAAATAATGTTATCTATCATGATTATTCTTGTATGAATCTGGTTATAAATATTGGGGAGTGGTTTTTGTTTAACTTACTATATGGGATTGGGAGCATTCTTGAACTGGGGGAAGTATATAGATTAAAAAAAAATTAGGGAAAAAAAAAACTGGAATGAAATAGAGCTTTAACTTTATCTGACCTATCATCACAATAATTCTGATCTCAACTGGATTATTCCATCCCTCTCCAAAAGGAAGTTCTCAATTTTCCTTTTCATAGTTGTTATATTCTCCTGCTTTTTAAGAGAACTGAAGGAACTCCATGACAGTTGGTTGGCAAAATCTGATCAATTCTAGTTTAAATTATTAAATAATCTAATTTATAGAAAAATTGGAACTTGTTACTGTTGTTTGAACGGCAGAACTTATTCTATATTTTCATGAAGGTTACGGTAAAAGAACTATAATTGATTTGTGGTAATCGATTCTTCTGAAACTAATTAAAGTTTCTTTAGACTGTACATGAATTTAAAAGTAGTAGTATCATGGTATTATAAGTAAGAAGGAATTCATTAATTACTTAACCTAAATTTTTAAATGAAACATGCAGAGTGGAGGCAAAGAAAGTACGGTTGCTCTTATTTCACAATGGTGTATACGTGGCCTTATTTTGATCCTGAGTATGAGAATTTCAGCAAATACATGAACCCTCCAAGGTTTTACTGAAGCTTTGTCTTATGTTTAGGTGTCCATTGATCAGTTGAAAATTTTCATCTGCGAGGGTGCAAAGAGCTTACCACAAATTTAGGGTGTTAAAGCTTCGATCAGTCTATGATTTACTTATTTTTAAAAATTTGAACAATAAAGCTTTATTTTTCTCAAATCAAGGTGGTCTAGAGCCACCCCAGCTCCTCAGTTCCTTGGATGAGTCAATGCATAATATTTTGGATGATTCACACACATACCACTCAGTTCTTATGTATTTACATATCTAACATCTAAACTTCAATCGTAACATATATGTCAGCTTACCAATGAAGGCATATTTCACTTTCTAAAAGTTAAAATGGTAGTAGTTTTAATGTGTTAGGAAAGATTTGGGTGGTATAATTGTAAAAATTACAACGTAGGTGCTAAATATGTAAATGCATAAGAATTAAGTGGTATTTGTTTGTTGGTACCTTCTCACTTTATTTTGACTTGTAGGGTGTCCATTGATAACTCTTCTTGCAGTGAATGCTCGCTAGTCAAGGTGAGTGACTGTTATTACTGGAAATAAAGATTATATGCAATGTTCGAAGCATTTCTATTTATATAATTTAATTTCACTTAAATTTGCTAAAATGAGATTTATAGATGTTTTAACGGAGAAGGACAAATAATAGTTTAGGAATTTAATTTTCTTTTTCTTCTGCTAGCTTGAAAAAATATTTGGTTTAGAAAACAATGCCAAATTCCTAATAAGCCTGTAATTCTCTCGTAATAACTTCTATTAGGTCCCATGGTATATATTCTTGAGGAATTTGCTTTAACGATATTATTCAAGCGTTTGAACTTTATCATATGTCAATGTGGACTAATCAGTACTTACCTGTAGATATTTCACCACCTATTTTCTTCATAAACAAAGTTTTCTTATTTTTTTCTTTTTTCGGGGGTGGGAGGGGGTGCAAAGTGAGCCGGCTCAAGCTCGACTCTGTAAATGACTCGCGAGCTGAGCTTGATGAGCTAACAAGTCAAGCTCAAGATAGCCCCGACTCGACTCGTTAGCACATCAGTCGATGACTCTTTAAAAATTTATTAATATAAAATATACTCAAAATTCATTAAAATTCAAGTTTTTATCTTTAAATTATTAAAAAATTTTAAAAATAATATTTTATAGCAATTGATTTCTTCTTATTTATCTTCTAATTATTCATTCTATTTATCATTTTATTAGAATGTTAGTTTGAATTAATGTTAATGTTTTTGTTCATAATAAACAAGCCGGCTCAAATTTGTAGAAATAAGCTCGAGCTCGATTAATTAATCGCTCAAGCCCAGGGCGACTTAAACTTGACTTAAATCTCTTACACCTCTAATGTGGAATATCTTGATTACCTATGTTTTTGAATCCATATTTAGCTTCCAGCTTTAATGCATTATTTGCTACATATACAAATTTAACATAAAAAGGAATATGGGGAAAATCTACCCTTTCCCTTGACCCAGGATGAAAATAATTGATTCCACGAAGACCGCATAAGTGTTATGGTTAATGCATTGTAATTCGTCCTAAGTAATTTAAATGTGAATGTGAATAAACAATTAGAAAATTGAGAACATAACCGTAATATTTAGGGTGCCAATGCGGTCTAAAAATGCATTTTATGAAAAAAATATTATCAAACAGGAGTGTAACATAAGAATATTGGCGTTTTTTTTTTTTGCATTTATTTTCAGGTGGACAGCGTGAATAAGCCTGGGATTCTCTTAGAAGTTGTGCAAGTGTTGAGTGACTTGGATTTAGCAATATCAAAAGCTTATATTGCATCAGATGGTTTATGGTTTATGGATGGTAAGCTTGAATTTCTAAGGTTTCTCCAAATGTAGGCAGTATTTTGAATACACGTACAGTTTTTAGCCAACATTAAAGCTTAATTTCTTAAATCAAAAGAAAATTATGTTGCCCTCCAAATTGTAACAAGTCCCTAAGGGCTTGTTTGGGATCACTTTTATTTTTTGTTTTTTATTTTTGCTTTTATTTTTAAGGACATGCTTGTTTAGTGTAATTTTTTTTGCATGTTTTTATTTTTTATTTTATAAAATAAATAAGCTTATTTTTACAAAGTTTAAAAATATGTAAAAGTTATTTTGAATTTTTTTAAGAACAACTAAACATGTTATAACATACCAAACATATTTTATTTAAAGTAAAAATATAAGCAAAATAAAATAAAAATATATATATAAAAAAATAAAAGTGATCCCAAATGGCTCCTAAGATTATTATTTTTCTATATATTTCCCCTTTTCCCCATAATCACTCTCCGTCAATCACATAAAACACCTAATCAATAGAACACCAAGGTATAAGAAATGCAATTAATCATGGGAAGGACATTTAAGTTTGAGCAATTAAAACTAGTACTAACCCTTAACCACAATGTTTTCTAATGTGCTAAATAATGAGATAATAATTGTTCAAAATATGCCAGGTGCATCTTTGGCCTCTGAAACATGGTTCCAGGTATGATAAAAAATACGGCCAGAAAGGGCTGTTACCTCTAAAGCACCATAAAACTAGACAAATTTGTAACTTCTGCATCAAATAAATAACACATTTCAATTTAGGGATAACTACACACACAACACTAGAAATTTTGCTACTTACAAAACTATCATCTAGGTGATTTTTTTGAACTTCCGAACAAATGCATTTATGCGTGGCGATCAAACCATTGAGAATTTCATAAAAATAAAAATTTTGGGTTGGGATTTTATCGTGAATTCTGTTATTTGAGTTAGAATTTGAAAAATGGGTGAAAGAGAGTCTAAATTTGTCGATAATTACGGGTGCTATGTATGTAATTGCCCTTTCAATTTAATAGTTAACTCATGGATTTTGTTAATCAATGCAGTGTTCCATGTGACTGATCAACAAGGTGGACAAATAACTGATACAAAGACCATTGAATATATAGAGAAGGTAATGCATACTTCTCTCTAATCTTCCTTATGGTTTGCTGATTCAGAGGTTAGCTTTTTCTTTAACATTGCTATATGTTGTTTAATTGATTGATTCGTATTCTACAGCTCTTTCACTCATCCCATTAATAGGGATTGAGGTCAAGATATTCTTTATGAGGTTGCTATGTGTTATCCATGAATGAATCTTCTATAAAATCAACCTGCTTTCATGTTTTGGTAGAACTGACAGTAAAAAAGTATGATTTTATCAACATTTAAGGTTTGTTTGGGGCAATTGCAGTTGTTTAAAAACTACTGCGCAACAACTATGCAAGAAAATTGCTGCTGAAAAATTGTGTCTGTTTGTTTTGTAAAGCTATACAATAACTGTGTTGCAACTGTTTACGATAAAAAGACATTTTAGCCTTTATATTATTGTCTGTTATAAGATAATCAGTCCAGGATGAATAACTCGTACATGAAAACATAAATTACATATAGAATCCCAAAAAACTCATAAGTTCAAATAGTACATGTAGAACTGACATCCCAAATAACTCATAAGTTTAAGGGTCCGTTTGGGGCAGCTTATTTGGTGCGTTGACATTTTGAAAATGCACCTAACCTGTTTCGGTAAACTGCGTTTTGGCAACATGCGTTTTCAAAATGTCGAAAACAGCTTTTTCACACCGCACCTATCTAGGTGCGCTGATAACTTTTTGGCAGCGGTCTTGGCTTTTCCAAAAAATAAAAATTTATTATCTGCACCTAACTTGATTAGCAGCTAAATTCAGACCAAATACACCCAACCAGACCCTAAATATTACATTTAGAACTGGCATCTTACTTAACAGTGAGTAACATAATATTTAAATAAAAAATAAAAAAATATTAAAATAACAATTAATATCATCAGAATATTATTTTTGAAATGTAGACGATCAATTTTACGAGATAATTTCTTCTCCAAGGGCACTCTCTACATCAGATTACTATCTGAGGTCTAATCGTCTAGCTGTTCTGTTCACGTAAAGAAGTCCTAGTCATCTGTTGCTCTATTCCTTTGGCACTTATGAAGTTTTTTCTGAGATTTATTCTTTCTTCGTAAAATTCTAAAGGCACTAGAAATTCTTGAGCTCATATTTTCTAAAAGTTAAAAACAACAAACATAAAATTATCTTGTATTAATAGTACAACAATGCAGTTATATGAAAAATTAACTAATAAGAATAAAAAAATACATAATTAAAAATTTATAAAACTGTGAGGTTTTAGAGCAAAGAAAAATTGTCGAGTAATCTGTGATTATAATAAGACAATAGATTTTAAAGAAAGAAGGTCTCGGTTGCCTTTAAACCATGTAGTATGGAACTCGTATATGTCATCAAAGCATATCACTACAAAGGAGCCCTCCAGATGAACCCCAATAATCATAACTAAAAAAGAAGTGCATCATGGTTGCCTTGATGACTATTTCATACATGTCAAAATTCATAGCAAAATAAAGGCAATCCAGTAGAACCCCTAAGGTTATATATTTCACCATAGACCTACAAACCAAAAAATATTTAAAAAAAATTATATTACACCTACGATTGCTTAGGGGGTCCTAAATAAAGAAAAATTACATATAACATCATTTCACGTATTAACTAATGCATTTGTAATTTGCTCTATCAACTCAATCAGCTCCCCAATACCTTTTCTATTTTATGTACAAGACTCACATAAATGTCACGACTTGACCCGAGACTTGTAATTAACCAAGACTGGAGCAGACAATTATACAGTGAGAATTAAAAAAATTATATATTTATTTTATATAACTAAAATTTAACAAATGAAAGAGCCATTAAAGAATTAATTAAAACAATAAAGTTAAATTTTATTTTTGATTGTCTCCGTCATCTATAAATATTTGTTCTTCTATTTCTTATCTTTTAATCAATTAATTAAATCTTAAAAGTTAAGCTAAAACAACAGTAAGTTAAACAAATTGATGAACATTCGTATTCGTAAATTATAGTAATTTATTGAAAAGGGAAACAATATACATGTCAGTTTAATAATATAAAAAAATATAATTGCATTCGACGATTTTTGCTGTATATTATAATCATTCAAGGTGATTTTAAACATTAATTATATTTTACTATATCATTTACATATCAATATCTTTTTAATCTATACACATCCGTTACAGTAACATTGTCAAAAATTTGTATCATTTAAAATACTTCAATATCAATATCTTTTTTCATTTATGTGCATTTGTGCATTAGCGTTCCATATCTAATATTATAAAGAGGTGACTTCATCATAATCAAACATGCACATGCAAACAATCAAAATAGTATAGCTCATTCTCAATTTTTTTTCATATAATTCAATAACCTGAATTATACATTTAAATGACATACATACATTAGTGAAAAATACTCAATATGATAAACTGAACTTAAAAAGTCAGAAAAATCTAAGTCATAGAGCAAATCAGACTTAGGAAAAACCAAACATTATTATAATTTAAAATTAAAGTACTCACCTGCTCTTAGCTTGCTTGACACACCGATTCCCTAACCCATGGACTTCTAGATTCAAATGTTTTTCAACTTAAATTGCTATTAAATATTGATATTTTAATTAATTATTATTTCTAAATTAAGTAAATTAAACATTAATTAAAATATACCTTATCTTTCAAAATGATTTGATCCTTGATTTTGCAACTGTATCTCCCTTACTAAATTAAGTCCTGATTTCAGATACATCTATTATTAACACTTAAAAAATGAGTTTGAATATTCATATAAGATTTATTAATTAAATTAGTACAACGTCAACTTACTTTAAATTGTAAATTTTGCTTTCGCTAAACTTTCACTCTCTACTTCACGCCCGCGACTTTTTCACTTTCCTCGTAATGGAAGTTCACATCACCTTATAGCCTCAAATTCGGGACTTTATACTTTTTTGCCTATTTCAAATAACTTTTTATCAGTACATTATTTAAATTGATATATAGTCACACGCACAAAAAATTATTCGTATAACAATATATATTAATTTATTAAATTATTAAACATACTCTTTTTTTTTATGTTTCGGCCTTCGCCTTGACTCCACAGACAAACCGTGCCTACTGCTTCTAGAGAAAAATTTGTATACGGAATACGTACGTAGCGCTGCGTCCGTCGGGAGGTTATACAGAGGGTATTGGGGGGTTATATCCGTGTTGTATCTCTAGTATTTGGGGGTTATATCCGCGTTATATCTCCTGTAACATTTCAATAACTTACCTGTAACATACAAATATATGAAAACAGAAGCGCGAAACTTATTTGTGGTTATAAGTAGGTTACGGGGAAGTTACAAGGGGGGTATAAAGCAGATATAACCCCCAATACCCTCTGTATAACCTCCCCTCACGGACTTAGTATAACCTCCCCTAACGTACTTAGCGCTGCGTACGGACCTTCCCGCAGTTCTTCTTCCTCTGCAGGTGAAGGCGGCACGACCTCCTCCTCCCTCGCACGACATTAGTTTACGAAGTTGTAGCATCCGCCTCTTTGGTTACGACTTTATTATCACGCATGTAGGTATACCTTCGGTCTCCTCTCACGATGTCGCTTACACCGTCACAATGTGCGTAGGGCTAAGGTTTGGGCCAGCTTCTCCTTCCTCATGGTACCCACACTCGAGGTTCCTCCACTCGACCTCTCCTGCTTTCAATCATTTTGCATCTCCTTTCTTCTCCTATCTTCTTATTCTTCTTTTGGACTCGCCAACCTTGACTCCTTTCATCGACTTCATATACTCCTCTCAATTCTTTCCCTCTCTTGCTGCCTCTCTTTCTCTAACTCTCTCGTTTCTTGTAAGATAACTCATTTTTTTTCCAAATTTCAAATGTCCTCTCAACAACTCTAAGTAAAGATGAGTGTCTTTTGTTAAACATTTTTTTTAACTCCGAACTGCGGTTATCTCTTTTAAAATCAAGAATGTGATATTTCATATCAGGAAATAGTTTGAGATATTTTTTTTGAAACAGATATCCAACATCAACCAAATAATATTTTCCTATTAGAAGTATAACCATATTATTGTACAAAAAAATTGAATGTACTGTTTATACTTTAACAAACATGAAGATTGCTTAGGAAAGCTGTATATATGACTTTGTGTAGTAAATTTGAATGTACAACTATCATGTGCATTGTATTTTCATCCAGTCATTATAAAAGTGAAACATATATTAAAATCACATACAACTATAATATTTTATATTGGTGAACCACAATGTCTAATATATGCAATCTTTTTACTGTTAGATACACGTGCATTCATATGTGTTTCATCAATTGATACAATACAATCTTAAGTCATTTAAATAATATATTAAAGTGTGTATATAAAATTTAAAAAAAATAAACACATAAATTTAACTTAAAATTTGACATAATATTGATCTTGTGAAATCTCTTTAGGGGTACTTTGGAATGTATGGTCTCTAGGTCTTATAGTTTTTGAAGAAAAGTTGACCAAAACATTCAAATCAATTAAAAATATTTATTAATTGTTTCTGATAAGTATTGGAATTGCTCTATTGCCCCTTTTTATGGACATACTTTGTGATAAAATATAGAGATTTATACCGAACACCTCCCAACCATAATTTTGGTTTAGTTATTTTCAACAGATCAATAAATATAGCATGTGTTATATGATACATGTTGAATTTTGTTGAATGACCCACAAAGAATTCTCCAACCTCTTTGTCACCAGTATATGTGGATGTTATGCAATGAGTGCGAGCAATATATGAGTTATAATACTCATACATTAAACATAATACAGTTGTAATAGGTATTCTACGTCTTTATCCATCAATGCTATTCATTGTTGTCATTCTAAAAGAAGGCAATCATAATTAAATATCATGAATTAGAAAGTAGTATATTAAAAAAATCATAACACTAATAAACACATTCACATATAAAAAAATAATAAAACATGATAGCA